TACGAAGAGGTGTTCTGAAAGTATCTTATCAAATGCATACGAAGATGCATTTGAAAGACATTTCCACAGAGTTCGCTTAGCACCAACAAATAAGCACACATACTAGTCTATTCTGGTCCCAGAACATCATTAAAAAAGGATTATTTAAAGAAAGAATGGGTGGCTTAGTGGTTGAGCATCTATCTGCCTTTGGCTCAAGCCTTGATCCCAGGGTCCTGGGATTGCTTCCCGCATCAGGCTCCCTGCAGGGAGACTGCTTCTTCCTCTGCCTATGTCTCTCCCTCTCTCTCTCTCATGAATGAATAAGTAAAATCTTTAAAGAAAGAATGGCTTGGCCAATGCATAAAATGATGTGTTGATTTCCTGACCCCCTCACAGCACAACCTGGGCCTGGAATATTGGTAGAGAAATAACCAAAGGCCTGGTCCAAAAGATACAACAACCACTGCCATCATGGGAAGGGCAGGGAAAGAACAGAGCAGGTCTTGGCACAGCACCTACTATGTCAAATTTGCCAGGAGCTTCCTAAGTGGCGGTTCACTGAAGCTCCCCAACAGTCCAGTGAGGGAGACACTGTTCCAACCCTTGTCTTAACCATCTAGGACATCACAGACTCAGAGAGCTGGAATAAGGGACCATGAGGCGCCATTTTTAGTTTCAGGACACAAACACAGCTAACAGGAAACCTTCACTTTTGTTACATGGACAGATACCACAACTAACTTCAAGCTTTCACAAAATACATTCAGGGATGAGGACTGGAATTCAAAAAATATGACAAGGTTGAGTTTTTCGCAAGCCTGTCTAGAAGTTCTTCATCATTACGCTTCCCCATAAGAGCTGTTACAGCAGGAACTATAAGCTCTGGGATCAGGATGAGGTGTGAGGGAGGTTTGGAAAAACTGGAAAAATCAATCTCTAGACCCCATCATGACAAAGAGCTTGATAGAGCCAGAAGCTCTTCAATTCACATCACTTGGCAGATCTCATCCTTTGTGGTCCCCATCTGGGCTCCATTCCACGTTCTGCGGCCTGAGATAGGTCAGGTGACTGCAGGACGCCAGGAGCCCTCTGCTTTGACTCATCCTCCTTTCTCGCTAGCTGGTTATCCTCATCAAGGACTTAATCTTTCTGCTTCCAAGCCTCCGCTTCCGCTCAAACAGCTAATCCTATTTCCCCTGCCTCACAGAAGAGTGAGCTAATGGCTTGTGGAAAAGCCCAAGGCTAAAAGTCAGAGACACAAATTTCCATGAGGACAGGGACATAGCCTGGCACCCTATATTACTGCATTTTCTGAATGAATAAAAGACTGAACAAACACGGGTGTACTTATTTATAAAAAGTAGAAAAGGTAACCACTTGCCTACCCCAACTGGGTTCCTTTGACATTCGAATATAATGACAAATGAAACAAGTGCTGCCAATAGATATCATCATCAGGGACACCTGCGCCTGCCTTTGGCTCAGGGTGTGATCCCGCTGCGCCGTCCCTAAATCGAGTCCTGCATTGGGCTCCTGGTGGGGGAGCCTGCTTCTCCCTCTGCCTAGGTCTCTGCCTCTCTCTGTGTGTGCCTCTCATGAACGGGATCCCTGGGTGGCGCAGCGGTTTAGCGCCTGCCTTTGGCCCAGGGCGCGATCCTGGAGACCCGGGATCGAATCCCACATCGGGCTTCTGGTGCATGGAGCCTGCTTCTCCCTCTGCCTATGTCTCTGCCTCTCTCTCTCTCTCTGTGTGACTATCATAAATAAATATCAAAAAAAAATCTTTAAAAAGAAAATAGATATCATCACTATTTCATACCAAAAGTATCACTGCCAAAAAGGACGTTATATGGAATCTCATACCCAGCAAGGTTAAATGAGAAACATAGGTTAACAACTTCACATCACTAAGTGATTTCATATCAGTGTGGCTTTTGGTCCACAGAAAACCCCGACCAATTCAATTCCCCTTGTGACTGAGCAAATAATTTCATCATCCATCCCGAGCCTGTTTCCTCATTGCTGAGACGAGAATGTGCTTGATTTGTTTGCCCTTCCGATTCTACTCCCCACCCTCTTCCCTGTCCTGTGCCCTCCTGTGTGAACCACATCCGTGGCGCCTCGCCTCTCTTGCCTCCAGCAGGGTTTGCCCAGCAAAAGGCACCAACAGATGTTTGGAGAGGAAGAGAGGTCACGACATTCCTTTCCCCAACCCCAAACCCTGATGGGAAGCTGGGGCTTCCCTGACTAAAGGTCTCACCTGCTCTCAGGTGCCCTCTCCATACAACCTATTCGGAAAACTGGTCAGTTTTCTCCCCTAAACTCTTCAGGTCGAAAGGCGGCCACAAAGTCCTGCTGTCACTAGCCCTGAGGTACTGCACCTCCGCTCCTGATTTGTCTGCCCACGCTCTAATGAACACAACAGCCCCTATACTAACCTTCTCTCAAACTACCCTAATCTTAATGTATCGCCAATTTCCTGCTGGGACCTTGGATTAGACAGGAGTTACAAATCAGACACCATGTCACCGAGGTGCCAGGCACTGGGCTATTCATTCCCGTTAGGACAACCACCTGATGGGAAAATGCTCCCCACTGACGGGGGGAGCGGGCATGCCCAGGGCCGGCAGCCCCAGGTTTGAGGCCCGCCCGGTTCTGCCCTCCCTTACTGGGGTCTCCAGGCAGGGCTTCCCTCCTCTCCGGGCCTTGATTTCCCCAAGGAGACCACAGGGGAAAGCGGAGGCTCAGAGAACTGAAGAACTGTGCCTACACTCACACGAGCACAGAGGAGCTACCACTGGGACCTTAGCCCCCCGAAGCTGAAACCCCTACCGTCCCATTTCCATTATCGTGGTCATCGTCGTGGGCACTGCTACTGAAAAGAAACGAAACAGGCCACGCTCTCATGAATACGACTTTACTGCTACTGCTGACCACAGCTCCACAGCGCGGTGACGAGCCGCAGCTCCGGAGTCGCTTCAACGTTCAAGGCCCGGCTCGCCCCGCTCGCCTCTTCGGCCAGGGAACTCCCTCCACGGCGAGCCTCAACTTCCTCCGGCGGGAAGGGGCGTCCTCTACTTCCTCCACCCGGCTCAACGGGACAACGCCTGCAGAGCACGCGGCAAGCGTGAAGGGCTCCAGTGACGCGCGCCGCGGTGGTGAGTAGCGGCTTTATTCCCGCCGGGGACCGACCGAGGGAACCGGAGGGAAGGAGCCGGCCGCCGCCCGGCCCCGCACGCACCTGCTCCTCCAGCCGCTCGATCTCCAGCTGGTTCTTCTCCTCCTCCTCGTCGTACTCCCACTCGTACTCCCCGGGGGAGCTCTCCGCCGAGGAAGCCATGGCGTACTCCTCGTCCCCATCGCTCTCACTCACGCCCTCCTCCTGCTGGTCCCACCCCGGCCCCACGGCCTTGTATGCCGCAGCGGCCACGGCCCGCGATAAAACCTTCCTCCTCGTCCTAGCCGTCTTAGCGTCGTCCTCCTCCTCGCCCTCCGCCGTGGGCCCGGCCTTCGGCTCAGGCTCCGCTTCCGAGGCCGCAGCTGCGGCCGCCGTCGCCATCTTGCGCCTCCAGTGACTCCCGGGTCTTCTCGCGGCCGCCGAAGACCCGCTGAAGTAGAAGCTGCCCGCGGCGGGCGCCTGACCAAAACTCCGCTCTCCCGGCCACCGAAAGGGAAACCGTGAACCTCGAGTGACGGGAAAACCCCAGAATGCATGGAGTTTCGTGTTGCTTTGACATAGGTGTAAAAGTGCTCGCAGAGAAAAAGCTCCCCAACACGGCATGTGTTCCGTTGCAACTTCGGGCAGAAGTTGGGTCTTTGCACCGGAAGTGGGGGCCGTAGAGGAAGTCACGGGGCGATGATTGAAGGCAACGATTTGGCGCCATCTTGAGAAGGTCAGAAGGAAATCTTGGAATAAAACGCGCGTCTTCCCGCCTAACCCGCCTAACCCGCCTAACCCGACCTGGAGCTTGGTTCAGCGTCCCCAGCATCTGAGCCTCAAACGAGGAAAAAAACCTCCAAGTCTTCAGGGAAGGATCGATCACACCACTCACGAGAAAACCCGTTTCCCAAAGAGATTCCTCCCCTTTATGTAATACCTGGTGCCTAAGTAAGCATTAAATACACGTGTGAGGTTTCTGGTTTTATAGGATCCTATTCTGCAAGCCGGTATTAATAAGTTTCATGACTAAGCGTTTCTTTGGAAACCCTTCATTTCCAGGCATTGTCACATAAGTAGGTCAGTTTGCTGCCTTATGAGAAGAGAAATAGATGCAGGCATATACATATATACTTTTTTAAAAAATCAGGGTATGGCGTGTTCGTTTCCTCAATTAAGCTCCATTTTTGAGGTAGGAAAATACTGTTTACGTGTTGCATTTCTCCCTCGTTAGTAAGGTTCATTATGTCGGGAACTCATGTGTTTTTCTTTTTCTTGCATCCCCGAAGCCTAGTACAGCGCCTTGACACACGGTAGGTAGGTACTCAAGTCGTACTTGCTCAATGCATGAATTGTCCTTGAATTAGTACAAAAGCGGGGATGGAAGCTTAAAGAGATGATGTCATAAGCCTAGGGCCACGCAGTGGAGAAGGTGCAGAATCAGGATTTTTAACCCAGGATTGCCCTTCTTTGAATCCCAACGGAGTCTGTCTGGGCAACCTTGGACAAGTTACTAAACCGGTCTGACCCTCAACTTCCCAAGCTGCACATGAGGTTGAGAAAAGTAGACTGGTTGATCCACCGCGCCGCATTCTGGCGATAGGGCTCGGTGAACACAAACCCGGGCCCCCACGCCCGCCGGAGGACACCGCCACCCCACCCCCGGGCGACAGCGCTGCACTCACAAGCCCTCCAACTTCAGGCTTTCAGTTCGGCGTCCCGCCCACCCCGGGGGGGCGTGGTCCAGACGGGGCCAGCGGCGGACACGTGCACCGAGCGCGAGGACGCAGGCGCGAAGTCGCGGTGACGTCAAAGGGCGCGCGCTCCAAGCCGGAGCCGACTCGCGGGCGCGCTCCTCCCCTCCGTGCGAGACCACTCGGCCTGCGCAGGCGCAAGCCCGGAAGATGGCGGCGGCTGGAGCTGGCCGTTTGAGGCGGGCGGCGTCGGCCTTGCTGCTCCGGAGCCCGCGCCTGCCCGCCCGGGAACTGTCGGCTCCGGCCCGGCTCTATCACAAGAAGGTAGGGACGGCTGAGGGGATGCGCGAGGCCCGCGATGGCAATGGGGCGGGAGGGCGAGGACCGCCGAGGGGACCCGGGTACGCCGGCGCTCCGCGGAGGCCCGGCCTGAGGAGGCGCGGCCGCGGGAGCCTCCTACTGCGGCCGGGGTACGGGCCTCCCTCTCGCGAGACTCGGACCGGACGAGGTTTCCCTCGCTGCGCGGCGACTGCCGGCGCCGCGGCCGGTGGGCGGCGCCCCCGGAAGGACGACGCTCTGGGACCCGCCGCCGACGCTCGCCGGCGCGGGCTTCGGCTTCAGCGGGGGCCGCTGCCTACCCAGATGGCCTCGGGCAGGTCCGTGCCCTGCCCTGCGTCGGACCTGCTTTCCCCGTTGGTAAAATGGAGGCTCAGGCAGCATTCCCCTCAACGGGATAGCTGTTCCGCCCTCGGCAGGGTGCCCGGCGCGTGGAAGTCATTCATGGTGCAGTTACTGTTGTAGGAGTGCGGAGGCTCCGAGGGGAGCAAGATACATAATCAGCAGGCACGATGTTTTAAATTCTTTATTTTTTTTCTTTTTTGGCGGGGGGGGGGTGGGGGGGTGGGAAGGCGTCGGGGAGTAGAGGTAGGTGCGTGGTTCGCAGCCCTTGCCTTCCGAGGGCGTCGAGTCCCCTAGACCTGAAACGTTCCCACTCGGGCATCGACTGAGGAACGCGGTGAACCAGCGTGAGGCCAAAAGTCCGGACGAGGGCCTGTCTTATAGGTGCTTGGGTTGGAGTCGAAATCCGTGGTCAGATGGGAAAAGAGACGGGAAGATCGGGACACTTAGGGCCGACTGGGAAACAAGCTCCGAGGTTCCCGTAAAGCCTTTCGCGCGCCGGGCCAGTCCGCCGGGACTTCGCCCCTCCCCTACCGAGGGGTGTGTTTTGTTGACAAAACAGGCTTTTTTGCGCTCCACGCACGTGCGCCGGGAGCCTCGCAGCCCGCAGGGCGCGCTGCTCCACCGGAGGGATGGCCCGGCCCTGAAGCCTGGCAGGAGGACTGGTCTCGTTTTAGCATAACAGACAGACGCCTTCCATAGCACTGTTCCTCGGGTAACATTCTCCTTGAGGCTTCCGGGAAGCCCTTTGATTGCTGGACCGTACTTATTTTTCGAAAATTATAATGGCTATCCTTTGAGCATGGATTTATTTGGAAATACCAGACATGCTGTTGGATCCCAAATCTGGTGACTTAGGCGGTAAAGATCAGGTAATTATTTGTGACTAAAAACCCTATGGAGTTAAGGCATGATTTTTGCCGATTTTTTTCTCCAGGAACTCCTATCTCTGAAGGTAGTTGGAGAAGCGGTACGAAAAAGATTGGTTCATAAAGTCTCATTGACATGAGGGTAAGCCTTCCTCCCCAGGTGACGTTTGCTGTTTAGGGACAGCCTGACAGGTTCAGCTTGCTGACTTCAAGGAGCTTACCATCAAGTTGGGGAGACCAGTAAAAAAAGAGGGATGGTACATTTCTCTTAACCTTCTCATTGCAGGTTGTTGATCATTATGAAAATCCTAGAAACGTGGGGTCCCTTGACAAGACATCAAAAAATGTTGGGACTGGATTGGTGGGGGCTCCGGCATGTGGTGACGTAATGAAATTGCAGGTACCGCTGGTTTTCATCTTTAGTGGTAATGGCAGCAATCCCTTTGCTCACACAGTGCTTCGTTGTTTACAAAGCATTTGCAAGCACAGCTTTCCGTTTGGTCTCTGGATTCCTGTGAGATGGTGGGATGGGTCAATGTTACTGATTATTAGGGTAGGGACTAAATCTTAGTTCTCCTTTCCTGCACACTGTGCTGACCCTGTATGGTGTCACTTTTCTACTCTATCAGTTTAAATTCCAACTCCAGCTAAGAAGAAAGTTTTGTGAATTTTACTGGTGAAAGGAAAACCACAACCATTCAGTTAGCGGTCCCCAGTGAGACAGGAAATACCACATACCAAGCTTCCCCCCCCCACCCCCAAAGTGGAAACAACACACAGATAGTAACTGGCACTTTGAGTAAACCTGTACCTTTGTCCACATCTTCATCATGGTGAGGGGACAGCTTGCTGGAGGTCTTCATGCCTGCCTTGGAAAACAGAAGGCAGGAGGGAACCACTAGATGTCATTTCATGCCAAACTAAAAAGCACTCACCAGAGACGGTTACTGCAGACTCCCCCCAGTGTGTAGAGATGCAGATTGAATGAGTAGCCAGGAGCAGAACTTCATAGCCAAAAAGCAGACTAGGGTTGCAAAACAAAAAAATGGGTAGCGGCATATTTTTTATCTTTACCAGATTAGGCCTGTATCATTTTGCTGATCGTTCCTACATTTGATTCTTCATCACTGAGCCCTTTTGACAAAGCAGATTCAGTAATTAATGTTAAAACTTAAGGTGTGGAATGCAAGACCAAAGCCCTTGGGGAGAGCCCCCAGTGAACCCCCGTAAATGCAGGATCTATGAGGCGGCATCAGGAACCACTGCTTAACACCTGTCTTTTTTCTAGATTCAAGTGGATGAAAAGGGGAAGATTGTGGATGCCAGGTTTAAAACATTTGGCTGTGGGTCTGCAATTGCCTCCAGCTCTTTAGCCACTGAATGGGTAAAAGGCAAGACGGTAAGGTTGCTTGTAGATGGACAGAATTAAATCATATTCTCAACAAACCTGCCTCTGAGTTAAGGGAGGGTCTAGTTATGGGGGGGCGGGGGGAGCGGCAGGTTTTTGTTTTTGTTTATAAAATATTCTAAGTTTTTTTTGTTTTTGTTTTTTTTAATTTCTCCTACTTGGGCTTTGATTAAATTCTCCACTTTGGGGATTATGGATAATTTTGTTAAGTGTTTTTTGTTTTGGGATCCCTGGGTGACGCAGTGGTTTGGTGCCTGCCTTTGGCCCAGGGCGTGATCCTGGAGACCCAGGATTGAATCCCACATCGGGCTCCCGGTGCATGGAGCCTGCTTCTCCCTCTGCCTATGTCTCTGTGCCTCTCTCTCTCTCTCTGTGACTATCATAAATAAATAAAAAAAAATTTTTAAAAAAAAGTGTTTTTTGTTTTGAGGGGGTTTTTGTTGATCATTTGTTTGGGGGTTTTGGTGGTATTTTGTTTACTTTTGAGAGGGGCAGAGGAAGAGAGAGGGTATTAAGCAGGCTCCACACCCAGCACAGAGACTGAGGCAGGCCTCAGTCTCATAACCCTTAGATCGTGACTTGAGCCAAAATCAAGAGTCAGACATTTAACTGACTAAACCACCCAGGCACACCTGTTTTGTTTTGTTTTTAGTTAAATAGAAAAAAGTCTTCACTTCCACCTCTAACAACAACAACAACAAAAACTATAAAGAAATCTCTGGCTTTCTCTGAGGTTGTTGATTATTATTTCTTAGGAGTCTAAAGGTGAGAGAGGTTGTATTGTCATTGGTATTCTTATTTATTACCTTCTATCATGTTTCAGGAAGGATTGCAGGTGGCTTATTATGATTCATGAAATAATGGACAAGCCTGTGCTAAAAGAGAGATTAAAGAATTAAAAACAGCAAAGATTAGGGGCAAAGTGATCAAATCAGGTGTTTGGTCAGCAGGCCCTCTGACGGTGGAAATGAGAGAGGCTGGAATGCCTTTTTTGTTTTCTCTGCCAAAGCCTCTTTCCCAGCAGCTGCAGAGTTAGAAGGTCCCAAACCCACTGAAGAGCTAGAGCTTCTAAAATCCAGTCATGAAAACCTCTCAGAAAAGCCAAACTATGGGGCTGCTTATCTTTGCAGCCCCGAGGGACAAGTTCAGGGAGCTGAGTCATGGAGGTGTGTGCTTGGGGAGCTGGGCAGCTCTACTGTAATGCAGTATGCCAGGTCATGTGCTGCCTGCTTCCTGTGGCTCAGGGCCTTCTGGCTGGCAAGCTCCTTTGGCAAGCATAGACCTGACCTGTTCTGGAGGAGGTGACTTTGAAGTGATTTGTTAAGAACTGTCCTCAGGGAAAGGGGAAGTGAGACAAGGCACCTTTGCTCCCAGGATCTGGCCTTTGAGTTGTAATCAGAAAGTGAAGGAAGAGAGCCTTTCTTTGACCTTGAGGTCCTCCTATCTGAGTTACCAGGAACAGAACGTAAAGCAGAATTATCCTTGAAGTCAGCAGAACTGAGAAACTGGGAAGCAGGTGGGCAAATCTGGCTTTCCTTAAGGCAGCAGGGCTCCATTCCCCATGGGCCTGCCTCATGCCCTTGAGCACTCAAGCAAACTCAAGCATCCTTTTCAGTCTGTTTTGAAGGCATAGATTGTCTTAGGTAGAAGATGATCACAAGACTGGTCTGTGCCACTGCCAAGTGCTGGAGTGCCACTGGCCTATTTGCCATCTCTCTGAGCCCCCTAACACCATTCAAACTTCTAGTTGATGGGATTTATTTTAAACATTTGGTATAAGACATCAGTGAAGCTGATATTCACAAAACCAGAATAGGAAATCACTGCTCTAAAACCAAAAGACTCCTATCACTGGCCTCAAGCAGACTTCTAAGAGATGTCTCACTGGCTGGCTTGTAGAAAAGGGTCTTTGCCGGCACTACTTACCCCAGCCAAGCAGTAGGGTGTGTATATTCCGTACTGGAGAGTCCTGGCTGTAGCCTTGATGCACAGTGAGTATCCTTTGGGGTTGGTAAATGGAAATCATCCCCCACCACCCTGTCCTGATGGCCTCTTTGGCCTCTTTTTTTTTTTTTTTTTTTATGATAGTCACACGGGGGGGGGGGTGGGGGGCGGGGCGTGCAGAGACATAGGCAGAGGGAGAAGCAGGCTCTATGCACCGGGAGCCCGACATGGGATTTGATCCCGGGTCTCCAGGATCGCGCCCTGGGCCAAAGGCAGGCACTAAACTGCTGCGCCACCCAGGGATCCCCTGGCCTTCTATTTTTATTGCTTGTTCCTCAAGCTAGAGCATTGCTAAAACTGTTAACTCTCACATACGCCTCTCAGGTGGAGGAAGCCTTGACCATCAAGAACACGGACATTGCCAAGGAGCTCTGCCTTCCCCCCGTGAAACTGCACTGCTCCAGTAAGTCTCTGCTCCAAAATGCCAACAAGCTTGCACAGTTAGGAGTAATTTTGTCATGGCATCAGCTGGCATTTGTGACAAAGTAATGGCGAGCCCGTTTTGGTTGTGGAGTTCATAACCTTTGGAATGGTTTAAGTCCCCAGGTCTCACAGCCATCTCAAGAGAGTCTTAGAGGAAGGAGTGTGTACTGGGTATCATGCCATGCTATGGCATCACTTCTAAGACTCAGAAACATTCTCTAGTCCACAGATAGTGTCATTACCTTTCCTTCTTACAGACAGGGAAGCAGGGCTCAGCTTAAAGTGCCTCAGTTACATGGCTTTTAAGTGGGAAAGTGAGGCCCTAAGCCCCAGTCTTTGATTCCAGAATCTGTGCTATTCCCACCCCATTGGAATCAAGGTAGGACCAATGAAGGAGAAAATTCAGCTTCTGCCATAATCCTGTCTGGTGCATGTAACATGTTACTGTGTCTGGTCTGCATCTATGTGTATGGGATGACTAAGCCCAGTTGTGCAACAGCCCCCTGTACACTGTTCTGAGAGAAAGCCCAGATGCCTAAAGACTTACACTTGGCTTTGCAGTTCAGTCTCTTGTCTTAAGTCTAAAGCTTTCTCATCTTCTCTCAACCTTCTAGGGGAAGGAGGGAATGAGAAACAGTAGCCTTACTTATTCATGGAGGTTTACTGACCAAATTAGTCAAAAACCAGCATTGAGCCAGGCCTCTTGCCAGCATAAGACTCATAGGGGAACTGAGTGCTGGGGCAGGGACATGCTAAAACAGTCGTCAGGCTGAGACTCGAGTTCTTTCCACCTGAGCTGGAATTTGAAGCACCCAGGAGCCAAGGCATAGCTTGTAAACATTTTCAGAAAACCCCCAGCCATTTCATTTGGCCTTCTTGGGTACTGCAACCGTCAGCTACTGCTCTCTGCCACTTGCTTGCTCTCTCTTGTCATTCCAACATTCTTAATTTCCGCCCCCCCCCCCCCAAAAGCCTCATTTTTAATATTGACTCCAAAGCCAAAGTTTTCAAACTTGGGATCACTAGAGAGTTATATGGCAGATGCCTCCTATCAACAGGGGGGCGGCATGGCCTAAGTTACGCCAGCTCACTCACCAGCATCCACTACACTTAGTGCTGACTTCATGTGAGCAGATGAAAACTAACATCTCTGGTGGCCCTCCGATACGTCAGAAGCTTTATTTTTTTTTAAACTTTTTTTTTAATTTTTATTTATTTATGACAGTCACACAGATAGAGAGAGAGAGGCAGAGACACAGGCAGAGGGAGAAGCAGGCTCCACGCACTGGGAGCCCGACGTGGGATTCGATCCCGGGTCTCCAGGATCGCGCCCTGGGCCAAAGGCAGGCGCCAAACCGCTGCGCCACCCAGGGATCCCCCAGAAGCTTTATTAAGTCCTCACACTATCCCAGCAAGGAAAGAACGCCCCAGTGTGATAGGACAGAGGGGGATTCCAGGAGACCAAGGGACCAGTCTTGAATCCCAGGTATTTTAAACACCAGCCTTTCTCCGAAGCCACCAGGCAAGAGTAATCAGGCTTAGGAAACAGATGGCTGGCTCTCCTGGCTTGCCCCTGGCCTCCAGCCCTGCCCAGCACCACTGCCCTCCGGCTTTTAAAGATGTGATTCCCAGACCTTCTATGTACAGTCTACACACTTAGGCTGTCTTTCCTTGTGCTCCTTCCAGTGCTGGCCGAAGATGCAATCAAGGCTGCCCTGGCTGATTACAAACTGAAACAAGAACCTAAGAAAGAAGAGGCAGAGAAGAAGTGAGCGCTCAATGAAGTGTCCAGCAGTGTCTGACACCCGCCACGTGGTCACTGTAGGCGTTCAGAAGCCCCTCACACTACAGTAAAACAGCTCTGAGACGCACAAAGCATTTGCTGGTCACATGGTGGCTCCAATGCAAGCAAAATACAGTTTATTCGTTCCAAGTCCTGTGCTTTCTTTCAGCCCACTTTATCGCCTTAATCCAGTTTGTGTATATTTTGAATTGTGTGCATGGCCTCAAAACTGAAATCAATCACGAAGTCTCAAGTGTGGTTAATCCACAAAGTGCTCAAATACCTAATCTCACCTGAATCTATCTTGAGGAAGATTACCAGTAGAAGGCCTTGGTATGATTATTTGATAGAACCAATTATTGTACATAAAACATTTGCGTATATAATATATATAATAAAGGAACATAAGATCATGTTTTTCTCTGATAAGCCTTGTCTCTTGGATCCCTCGCTCAACCCAGGGTCCTGCTCAGGGCCCCTTGGGGCTCCCAGGTACTAACCCGTGATGACCTCTGCACCTTTCTGAGCAAACTGGACAGGAAAGACCATGGATGGACAGATGGCTAGATGGGTATCACATTTTATGAAACGGTGAAGGTGAAAGGAAAGAGCCATTTCTTTTCATTATGCTTTGCGGTGTGTAAATTGACAAATCAACATGAGTCCAGAAGATTCTTTTTATAATTTCACTGGCTTGTGAAATACCGAAAGCTGAGAAAAACTGGCTTTGACAATCCCCTAAAGCTACAGACCAAATACAGAGCAACTGGAGGGTGGGGTGAGGAGGGAGAACCTATGTCTGGGCGGCACCTGTCTGCCAGGTGGTGGCCTTGTCACTTTGCCTTAGAGGTGTGGAGCTGGTGGCTGCAGCCTCCAGGCTGGGATGCCAAGCCAGAGCCATGGCCAGTACAGTGGTAGTGGTTGGACTGCCCTCTGGTGCTGTAGGATTTGCAGGTCCTTACATCTTCTACAAGCCATGAAGCATGTGGAGCCTCAGACAAAACAAGCTTTTCAAAGTCTACCAAAATCTGCCTTCAATGGTGGCTACTGCAGAGGTGACTTAGAACCCAAAATGACTAAACGGGAAGAAGCATTAACACAGGCATAAGCCACGAAACGTGAAAGAAGAGCTGCCCATCTATGCATGACGTTTTTAAAATCACCCAGATGGGAGGATCTCTGTAGATAGCAGCCAGAATGAATGAAGCTGAAGATTTTCTAAAAGGTGAAACGAAAGAAATGAATATATGGTGAATTTTAAGTTCTTAGGAGTTTATGTATAGAGGCACCAACTTTTTATAATAAAATGCCTCAGTAGGGGGAGAGAGAAAGCAGGAGCAGGGGTGGGAGGAAAGAAGCAGACTGCTGAGCAAGGAGCCCGATGTGGGGCTTGATCCAGGATGCCAAGATCACCCGAGCTGTAGGCAGACACTCAACTGACTGAGCTACCCAGACGCCCCTCAGCTACAAATTTTAAAAATGATTTAGCACAAGCTACATCAAAAACTTGGGTATGTTTCTTTGTATCTGAGGATTTTAAGTCAGATTAAAGAATATTTGGAGGCTAATAATTGTGGATACAATTTGAATAGAAACATATTATTTAACAAACAGTAATACCTATTTTGCAGCAAAGTGAACATGCCCATCTGTTCTCAAGGGGCCCCCAATCTAGTGGGAGAGTGACAAACGTAATTAAAATCTAATGTGATTAATACTGTGATGGAATTAGCACAGGTCCTTGTTCTCTCATTGGGAGAAAAGGCTGTCCAGGTTTCAGAGAACTGACCCAGCAGCTTGGAACCTTGAATTTAAAAGTGAATTTAGCCACAACTTTGACCCAAGGTGTGTGTATGTGTATATATATATATACATACATACATACCTAGATCAACTTCTTAGGTTGTATGTATCACTGACGGAATTCAGATTTCATACATTAAAGGCTGTAAGAGTATGATTTTAAAAACAACACCTGGGGGATGAATTGAAAATGGAGATTTAAAAAAAAAAAAGAAAATGGAGATTTCTAGACCCAACGTTTGGCTTTAGGTTCCTGCCTGTGACTTCTGATGGCCTCCCAACATGGTTCTGGGTGGTGGAGGAGCCAGGTCACAGGGAAGACACTGCTTTTGTCCATTCTCTGTCCTGCTGCACGCAGGTGTGATAGTCAAGTAGTTCATTGAGAATTGTCGCATGTACAGCGACCTGAGGCTTAAAAAAATCTCCATCCCTGGCCCCAGCATGAATAACATCCTGCCTGCCATCCCTCTGACCCTCTTCTGCACCCACCCCTAAGGTTGTGTCTTTCATTCCAAGGTACCCACAGTCCTGCATCAGCCAAAATCCCACTAAAGGAGGCCCAACTTTCTAGCAAAAACATGATCTTAAAGTACCAGCTAACCAGGGCATCTGGGTGGCTCAGGTCATGATCCCAGGGTCCTGAGATTGAGTCCCACATTGGGCTCCCTGCAGGGAGCCTGTTTCTTCCTCTGCCTATGTCTTATGAATAAATAAAATCTTTTATAAATAAAGTACCAGCTAACCATCTCAAATTTTCAACTCTTCAAAAGTAGAATAGTAGTTTTTTCCAATGGTGGTATTTCGTTCAGGCATGGGCTAGCTATCTCTTCTCTTTTGTTTAAAAACAGAAAGAAAAAAAAAAAAAGAAGACCTCTGAGTCCTGAAGAAGGGCACAGAACTTCAAAGGCCATTCCCTCCACAGCCTGTGGAGAGGGCCACAGAGCAAGGCCTTTATAAGAATCTCAAATTAGGGCCGCCGGGAGGAGCCATGTCAAATTGTCCTGTGTGGTGCATTCTACTATTTAATTCACAATCCCTCTAGGCTAAGCTGGTCTTGTTCCCTTCTTCATTATATGTGGCAACACTGCAATTCCCCACCGCTTTTCTTTGTAATTTAAAAAATGAGACCTTTCTGTCCCAGTTTGCATCCTCTGAGAATTGAATCAGAATTCTACACATCACAGGCCGCACACAAACAACTTGGGCAATGTTACCAGAACAGCCCAAACCTCAAAATATGTGGTTGTGCAGCTCAAAGAAATGAATTTTTTTGGACTTCTAGTCAAGACTGCCTCCCCCCTTTGCCCAGACAAATCTAGTTTTCACCACACGAGGGCATCGCGTACTCCTCAATGAGCCTAAAGCTAGGTCTGAGCACCCCTGAGTAAAACTTCCCCTCCCCCAGGAAGATGGGGACACAGAAGTTACCAGAGTGTATCTGGCATCCATGCCCTATACCAAATGGATAATCTGTTCCTTCTCATTGACAACCCTCTAAGGGGCACTTTATTTAAACGGACTCAAGCCAAAGCCCATGCTTCTCCTTCCTGGCTTCCTTCTCACAGGACACACCAAAGGTTCCGACTGACCGCGCATCAGAGGCTCCCCAGGGCCTTCAGCCCTCACACAAAGAAGATAAACCAACACAGGATAGGCCCCAATCCATTTATCTGGCCACCTCGCCACCAAGCACTATGGCCCTTAGCTAGCTGTGCGTCAGAGTCATCTGGGAACCCGGTTTAACCCCGATGCCCCCATTAAATCTGACGTCCTGGAGGTGGAGTGTGGGCGCTGGTATGCTTTTAAGGCTCCCCAGGAGTTTCCAGTGTATACTCTGCAAATCAATTTGCTACAATTATTTCAGTGGATGCTCACAGTCCTGTGAGGAGGTGTCACTTCTCATCTCCAAAAGACCTCCTGAGTCCCTTCCACTCTGCCCCTCAGTGTCTGCCTCCATCTAGAACTTCATTGCCTCTCCTGGCCTCTCCACTGGTCTCCCTGCCTCCAGCCTCACTGCTGGAATTGACTTTGCACATGACTGCCAGAGGGTCTTCCTAAATCAAAGTGACCCTGTCCATGGCTCCCTGGTGCACTTTACACAAATTCAAGACTTCCTACCACATTGATGGATTTGCTCCAGGATGCCGAATCTTACCATTAGGCCTTTCTCTTGCTGTTTCTTCTGCCAGGAATGCCCTTGCCAGACGTCTTCTCTTAACCTCCGTTCAGCCTGGGAGCTTCAACTCCGGCATTACCTCCTCTGAGAAGCCTTCCAGGTTGTCCCAGGCTGAGCTAGGTGCCATTCTCTGTTCCCACAATCCCCTATACTTCTTAATCCCATGTGCCAGGGACAGCGTTGTAATTTGCTGTTCTCTTGTCTTTCCATATCATGATACAGACACTGAGTCTTTTTTTTTTCAATTTTAAATAGGTAGCATGCCTCAAGAAAAAAATTCAAACAGCCTGAAATGAAAGAGTGCTACATAAATTTCCTTGCCATCCCTAATCTTTCAGGCTCCTTCCCCAGAGGCAATCTCTGATACTCGTTTCTTAGATGTCCTTCCAGAAATTCTCTCCGCAAATCAAAGTATACATGTGTTTAAATAGACTGTCCTCATTTCTTTTTTTACACAGGTGGTAACATGCTATACATATTTCCGCCATGTTTATTTTCCTCTTGACCATTTTTCTGAAGACCATTCCCTATCTGTTCCTATAGACTTGCCACATTCTAAACAGCTGCACAGCATTCCATGTATGAAGGTCCGTAGTTTAGTTTTCTGTTGATGATTGTGTAGATTCTTTTCATAGCAATGTCCCAATTAGGGGACCCAGCATCTGGTACAGTTCTTAATCTACTAGGGGACTCCCTGAATGGTAATTGAGTGCATGGATGGATGGATGGATGGATGGATGGATGGATGGATGGATTGGTGGGTGGGTGGGTGGGTCGATAGGTGAATGGATGGATGGATTCATGGGTAAGTAGATGGATGGGTGGGTTAGTGGATGAATAGGTCAATGGATGCATGGATGGATAGAAGAATGTGTGAGTGGTTGGGTGAGTGGATAGATGGATGGATGAATGGATAGATACGGTAGGGATCTATCAATGGATAGATGGATAGGTGGATTAATGGGTAAATGGATACATAGATGGACAGTGGTGGATGGATGGAGAGATGGATGGATGGATGGATGGATGGATAGATGGATGGATGGATAAACAGGATCAGAATGGTTAAATAACTTGCCCCAGATGACACAGCTAGGATGCAGTAGGTAAGCACTCCAATAATGTCCCCTATCCCCCTCTCACTCCTTTCAAAGCACCACACCGCAGCAATGACCATGTCTCTAATTTAACCTTTTCTAGATGTTATTCTTGGATTTGGGCCACTTGGGACCACATCAGAATGCACAGTTTTAGAACCTCACATTAAGCATGTCCTGTCAAAACTTGCTGTCTCTATCTTGGAGTCTTCTTTAAAAGCCAAGCAAATGAGAGGCGCCTCTTGATAACTGAGGCTCCTTCAACTTGAGGCAGGATTGCAGACTCTGTGTCTATCCTCATGGCAGGAAAGAATGCTTCTAGGTCCCACTGAGTCTTGG